TATTTCGTATGCACAATTTCAGGGTGCCAGTAACTTCGGAAGCATTTTAAATATATTTCCAGAATTCTAAAAGCGGATATCTCTATTGTCTCAACTACCGAAAATCCGAAATTTGCAGAAATCCTAGACACAGGACTGTATGTGCGAATAAAATCAATAAAAAAGCTAAAAATGTTATCAAACTTTGGCTTTTATGGTTTCAATATATTAAAAAATGCATTCCACCAATAGCAAGGTAGAGCGTTTGTAGATTCCAGATGGGAGGACGTCGCTCTAGAGCGCAATGACGTTTAAAAAATATAACAAGAATACGAATTTGAGGATAGCTAAGTTAAATCACAATTTAAATAAAATTTTTCATACTGGCCATTCTAAATGCAATGTAAATTGTTTAAGGTAAAAAAATATATTACCACAGATCAAAAGATGATTGAACCTAAAATCTAGTGATTGTACTTAATGTACCTTTAAGTCATCAAACATTGGAAAAAGGTACAATTGTCACTACTTTTTCATCCCTGGTATGCAGTAGCAGCTTTAGAAATTTGAAACGTTTTGGGGTCAAATAAGCTTAAAGAAAAATGCTTCAAATTAACTATGTATAAAGAGCTGAGTTCATTCATTTTTAATTTACTTTATTTGCCTCATAAATAGCTCCGCAGCTGCAGAGCATATATTTTCAGATTTATGATTGATCCATTATGAAAAGCTCGGCCAAACACTAACTTATGTGTAAGCGCCAATCTATTATTATTATTATTATTATTATTATTATGAAAAGAGAAATAGAACTACATGATTTTTCGGTTATTAACAATAATAAAAACCAAAGATACGAAACCAAATAGTATTTTTAGGTTTTTCTAACTTGGTACTTTGATACTTAAATAAAAAAATTGTGATACATTTGATCCATCGTTTGTTTCTTCTACGATAAATTTTTTCATGACGTCGCGGCAGCACTGCCTTAGCGCAGCTGATTTTATAGTAAGTCCCCGAGTTCCACAGTTCCCAGTATATAATGATGATGAATTTTACTACCAAGTATGAATACTAACGAATAGGCGTAGTTTAGTCTCTTCTCTAAGTTTAAAAACCTTTTGACCACCACTGCTTTCAAGATGCGTCCCGAAAATCAAGTTTTATATTCCCTGCCACCGAGTTTACATATTCACGTTTTTGCAGGTTCCGCTTAATGATGTGTAAAATTTTTGTCGCCGTAAACTAAGCGATAACGAGAATTATGAATTCCTTGAAAACTCGTGGGCATCCGATGCTACTTTTGTTATTAAATTTAATAATTTGGTCTCCATATCCTCCATAAATTCAAAATATCTGAATGCGGGGTCGAAATTAGCGACCTCCAAAACCCCCTTATATAAAAGTCTTTGGTGAAAAAAAAATTAAAAAACTTGGTCGCCATATTGGATCAGCCATTTTGAATTTAAAAAGTCTGACTTAATCTTCGAAATCAGCGACCACAAAAACCCCAAAACAACAAGTTTTAATTTGGTTACTTCTGGACTTGGCCAGCAAATAGTAGTTGCCAGACCATAGTGCGCCGGTATGAGCATTGTGACGCCTCAAGCTAAATTAACTAATGTTTGTACACATCAGTATGCACAACAAATATGATTGCAAACAATGAAATCAAACATCGTAAAAAAGAATATTTAAGTAAAAGGAAAAATAAATACATAAATATTTCAAACTTTCGAACATAAATTTTAATGTATTTTTCATTAAATGTTATTAAAGGTAAAAGGTTTCAGGTACAATAAATACTCTATTTTTATCTTTTTTAATAATATTGAATATGCAAAAGAAACCATTTTAATTAAAAATAAAATGAATACTTTAGTATATTTTTGAGTGAACTAAAATAAAAATAAAAGTTTTCATTAATATAAATTAAATTCATTAACTTTGCACATTTCAGTCTATTCTTTTTAAATTTTTTTAAAAGTAATAATTAATGTTTAGAACTTGAGATTTGGATAAGAATACAATAAATAAATAATTCAAGCAGTTATTCAATATTCTTAATTTTTCTCTACAGTTTGCCTTGATGATTTATAATAGAAATTTATCAAATAATTATAATCGTGTAATTAAAAAAAGTCGAAAATAATTGAAAATGATCAAAAATAACAAAATAATGGTGAAATTAAAATTAATGAATTAATTAACAATTTTTTTAAGTAATTAATTACACAGGTCCACAAAAAAATCGATGAAAGGTTCCTTTGACCAAACCTAGTCTATGTAATGTTTTTGGGGTCGCTGAACACGAATCTGAAGCCCGTTTTGCTCCATCACGTCTAGATTTTTTCCTAACCTCAAAAAACACCTCTCTGTCACGTGAAATGCGAGATGGTTTTTGAGGTTAGGAAAAAATCTAGACGTGATGGAGCAAAACGGACTTCAGATTCGTGTTCATTGATTTTTTTTTCTGGACCTGTGTTATTAATCATTAAAAAGGTGGTAATATCGATATTTAATCATTAAACGGTTATCCAAAAAAACATGGTTTATTTAATAACATAGGTTTACAAAAAAAAAAAAGTGTATGCATATTAAACCAAACCTATATATCCCTATGTTATTCGACATGCTGAATGCGAATCCGAGGTCCGTTAGCCTCCATCACGTCAGGTTCATGGTCATTTGAAGGTCAAGTAGGGAAAAATTCATTGAATAAACCGGAAAATTCAATAAAATTCATCGAAATTTGACCTTGGGATGACCTGGGCATGACCTCCAGATGACCTTGAGGAATCAAGGGACCTCCATACTCGGTTTCAGTGAAAACAAAAACAATTTTTTTTTTTTAAATTTTTATTGATCACATTTTATGTCCTATTTGACCTTCAAATGACCTCGAAGCGGACATTATGGAGGTTAACGGACCTCGGATTCGGGTTCAGCGAATGTAAAACCTTATGTATATGAATTTTCAGGTTTATTCAATGAATTTTTCCCTACTTGACCTTCAACTGACCACGAACCTGACGTGGTGGAGACTAACGGACTTCGGATTCGCATTCAGCGTGTCGAATAACATAGGGATATATAGGTTTGGTTTAGTATGCATAAGCCTTTTTTTTGTAAACCTGTGTAATTATTATGAATATTAATCATTATTTAACAGGTCTGGTATAATTGAATGCGTACTCTCTTTAATGGTTTACATTATCCCCAAATAAAAGTAATAATATTTTGTGTACTTTATTGTATTAAACTGTCGAAGTGAAATAAAACAGGACATGAATAAATCGTTTTGTACTTGGTACAAGTCTGGTCATATTCGAACTAGCTCAATTTCAGTCAGCAAATTGTAGTTGTAAACTAGTATTTTCCTGATTAGTTTGGGGTTTCACTGCAGGGTTGTCACCGCTCCAAATACTGGGGATGATATGTACACTTACATATTCATACTCAGATGTGAACAGTCAAATACGTGCGTAATAAATTTTTGTATGAAAATATTATTTTTAAATACGAACATTTTTAAACGATAATCAAAAAAACAGATGAGGTTCTTTCTGTTCTTTTATGTCAAACTCATACAAACTCATGATGTCGCTGCCGCGCTCAAAAAAATCATGTTGCTGTTGGAAGCTGTGGCCCGTAGCTCTTCGTTTTCAATGTGTTCAGCACTCTAGTGTATTTTTATACCCGAGCGCACTTGTGCTCAAGGGTATTATAACTTTGTTCACATAACGGCAAAAAATCTCGCTAACGTTATTTTGGCGGTTAATGCTCGATATATTCAGGGCTATCACAGAATCCATCGTAGCGTCGATTTTCGTGAAACCTACGAAAGTGCTATCACAGAATCCGAATGGCTACGAACGTAAATTCGAAATTTGTAGAGAGCATTCATTGAATCCGTTCGTAATGAAGATTCGTACAGATACACTACGACGAGTTTATGCTGTCGGAACAAAATTTAAAATCACTGAATCTTAAAAATAATTATTGTTAATAATAAATATTTATTATACTCCATATTTGTTATAGTTTGATATAATTCCATATATTTGTGTAAACGTAGACGAAAAATATAAATGGCATACATACCTACATACATATGTACATACATATATTCATCTACTAGACGCTATTTAATGAATGTTTTTTTTTAAGCGAGGAAATAATAGTTTAACAACAATTTATTAGGAAAGAAATCTAACTACTTTAATATCATATAAATTTATTTTAAAAAATACAAATTTAAATTAATTAAATAAAAATAGTTTTCTCTTTAAAAGAATAAAATCTAAACTAAAAAAAAATTAAAAAAAAAAACAATAATGAAATAAAAAAAGAAAAAAGCTCCACTGCCGACGACTCAGACTCGAACTCGGATCTCTCAATTGGCAGTCTAGTGCTTTGCTCACTCGGCCATTGCGACTGCTGGGGCAGCGTTAGCAAAATGGCATACATAAATGTCTATTGTTTCCTATGCACTAGCTGATTTCGAATCAACATTCGAAGCTGGCAACGATATTTTCGAGTTCACTCGGAATCAGTGATAGCAATTTTTTCGTATTCGTAGCAGGCATTCGAATTCGTAGATTTTCTACGATGGATTCCGTGATAGCCCTGATTACTTATTATTGTTATTATGTATGTATGTATATCAAAATATTTCGTGCATAGAATGCTAAGGTACATTTTATGCTTTGATGGCATTATTATAATTGAAAAAAAAAACGTTTAGCTATTGACGGGTGGAGCAGTATTTTGTGACCGGTGGGACAAGTCACTATTGAGGACACATAGTTCGTGAGTAAAATTAACACTACTGATTTGGTATGAAAAAACATATTTCGATCGAATAAGCATCGTATCGCCAAATATACATAGAAAGAAACTAATTGAAAAGAAATTTAATAAATGTAGCAAATTTTATATTAGTTCAAATTTCAAATCTAGTTTAATATTTTTCCTTTTTTTATTAACCACTAATAAAAGCTGTCTTTAAATTTTTTTTTTAATTACTTGGTTTTGTATACAGAATACCCCTTCTCGGCTGCAATTGATATGCCCGATATTCAAGCAGTTTCACATATACAAGAAATAGCTGTGCGGGATCTAATAATACGTACAATTGGTGAGGATATTTCGAAAAGTTTCACAGTTAATATCGATAAAACAATGGCCTCTCGAAGTTTTGAGGTGAGTTTATTTCGTAATTTTCTCTTATTTTACAAAGTCCATAGTTTATTTCCTCTTTAATGGATTTTTAGATTACAAAACCTTCGCCTTCCATAATTAGGATAGTTGGGTCGGACGGTGTTTCAGTGGCGAAAGGTTTTCATCATTACCTCAAGTATTATTTACAAAAATATGTAGATTGGACCCACACCCATGTTGAGTTGTCGCTACCTCTGCAGCTGCCCAATGTAACAATCTTCTCCAAATCTGCAAGTGATTTTATTTATTACCAAAACGTTTGCACCTGGAGCTACAGTTTTGCGTGGTGGACTTTTTCTAATTGGCGGCGACACATAGACTGGATGGCAATGATGGGTGTGACTTTGACTATAGCACCCATTCAGGAGCAAATATGGTACGAAATCTATGTTAAAATGGGTCTCACAAAAGATGAAATAGACGAACATTTTGGAGGTGCAGCTTTTCAAGCGTGGTAAATATATATACATATATGTATGCGACAGCATAAAGACATACCAGAGATGCTCAACAAACTATATGAATCGATTTCGTTTTGTTGATGCGCAAAAATAACTTATCAAAATAATTTCGTTACGTTTCAGAGCTAAATTAACGAAATAAAACTCAATCGTTAACGTTGAAACGAAATAAATCATCAATCGTTAATATTAAAACAAAATAACCCTGCAGCGGAAAGTACTAGTACAAAACTAGTGAATTCACCAGTTTTCGGGAGTCGAATACCGGTACCTCGAAAATGTACCACCCATGCTTTCTACTGGCATTTAACGAGTTGCTCTAGAAGGTAACAATTGACTCCCGCTGCGTAACTTTGCCTTAGTACTTATAGTAGTAACGTGTAGGGCTCAGTTATGCATAATTGTCATTGCATACGAGTTCTCACATAAGGAATCTGTTAAATGAGCTTTGCGTGTAAGTGGTTACCCAACGCCAAAATTTTAAATTATATGTTCAGCTTAATGAGATTTGAACCTGGACGCTACTTATTGTAGCAAGCATCTTTGCGCACTCAGCTACAGGCACAACATGTAAGTTTTCTCTCAGATTTTCGCATTGAATCAAGCCAAATTACGTGACTGGTACATTTGTTCAAATTTGTTTTTGCTATTTACAGGGTGGCGTTATTTAGAAATTTATTATTGGGCTGAAGGGATTCTTGATGATAATTTTAACAAAATTGTCATTAAAACTCGCTACATCGCAGGCGTTTGTGTATCGATCGATTTGAAATTTTCACCCAATAAACTACAAACTAGAATTTAAGTTTAACACCACTTCCTAATACTCAGTACAAATAAAACTACAGGTTTATAACTTTTGTATGAGAATTGAGAGTATTTGTTTTCAAATGCAAAAGTTGTTTTATAAAGTTTGAAAACAATTTTTTGCTACAGAGTAGCGTTGTTTGAAATTTGTTTTTGCTATTTACAGGGTGGCGTTATTTAGAAATTTATTATTGGGCTGAAGGGATTCTTGATGATAATTTTAACAAAATTGTCATTAAAACTCGCTACATCGCAGGCGTTTGTGTATCGATCGATTTGAAATTTTCACCCAATAAACTACAAACTAGAATTTAAATTTAACACCACTTCCTAATACTCAGTACAAATAAAACTACAGGTTTAAAACTTTTGTATGAGAATTTAGAGGGTGTTTGTCTTCAAATGCAAAAGTTATGTTATAAAGTTTGAAAACAATTTTTTGTTTTAAAACAGTATTGTAGATGACTATTTAAGGAAGTCCAGTAGTTGCAAAGTTATAACAATATTATTATGACCCGTTAGTAGATTAGCGCGCTCTAAAAGGCTTTATAACTTGGAAAAGTAAAAAGAAAATCCTTTTTTTTATTAATATTTCTATGTAAAAAGACTTGATCTTTCGATTGAGATAACTAAAAATAATAGTTGTGTTAAGGAGACCGAAAAAAGTTCAAAGCAGCTCAAGTTGGAGCAGAATCGAGCAGATGTCAAAAAAACAATAGAGCAAGTTAGAGCAACTCAGTTCACAAATCTCATGAAACACTTTTCAGGCAGAAATTCTCAAAACGGATGCTTGCTCTAAGTTACTCCATCAAAAAAGCTGGTGCAGAAAATCGTGCTCTAAGTTGCTCTAGTTCCAGTCATGGAACAAAAACTACAGTAAGATAGACCAACAAAAATCCTCATGAAACACAATTTTGTGAGAAATCTTAACCTGGCGTAACCTAGAGCAGCTCATTAAACACAACTAATATTAAGAATTACCATAATTGAGAAAAATTATAAATAAATTTTCGTTTAGAATTTTCCCATTTTCTGTCTACTTCCCAGCTAGTCGAAAAGTAGCTTGTTTTGCACCGCTCAGCGCGCTTGGGACATTTGATGTAAATTGCCCCATATATATAAACATATTTGAAAAGAAACCAAAAAAATTTAAAAAGTAGTAGTTATGTAGAAAAGGAGTTGGAAAATCGAAATTTTAAATTGTACCTAATTTGACAATAGAAATGTATCTTTTTGATGGCAAATGTACCTAAAAAGTAGCTCACTATTTTGTTAACTTTTTTATTATTTTCAGACAATTGGTAACAATTTAATAAACTGATACATTATTTGCATTAATAAGAAAGTGATCAATATACCAGTACAGTTGAATTAATATTCATAAAAATTCAATACGGGTTCATACAGTCATTCACAGAAGTATTCGTAATTTAGTTTTTTTCACAATATTCCAAATGTTTTCCATTATAAATCTTTTTAAGCTAATTTTCATTTAAAATATACATAGCTCATTGTGCAACGAAAATCACATAAATGATTCTTGCAAACTTTGTACAAAATTCATAAAACTGAATCAAACTTAAAAAAAATTTCATCAAAATTTAAAATTTTTTATTCAGAATTTTTAGAAAAATTTTCAGTATGCAGTTTTTAGCACGTTCAATTTTAGTATAATAAAGTGCAAGTTTCAAGTGGCTAAAGATTACCGCCGATTTTTAGAACTCTTTTTTTTCTAACAAAAATTTTTATATGGAAGAAAATGCTCAACACCCTCGACAAAAAAAAATCTAAAAATCTGCAGTAATTTTTAGCTGCTTGACACTTGCACTTTATTATACTAAAATTGAACGGGCTACAAAACTGTATACTGAAAATTTTTCTAAAAATTCTGAATAAAAAGTTTGAAATCTTTATGAAAACTTTATTAAGTTTGATTCATTTTTATGAATTTTGTACATAGTTTGCAAGAATGATTTATATGGTTTTCGTTATAGAATGAGCTATATTTTAAATGAAAATTAGCTAAAAAGATTTATGATGGAAAACATTTTGAATATTGTGAAAAAACTAATTTACGAATACTTCTGTGAGTGACTGTATGTATATGTATGTACATTGAAAGTCGGAATTTTAATGCTCTCAACCTCTACCGAAAAGTAGTTTTTATTTGGAAATCAAAAATTATTTAGGGGTCGCTCAAATCACTCAAAGTTTTCCATGTATTTTATATGGGGAAAAAACAAATTTTCGTAGAAATGGTATAGAATTCTTGAGAATTAATATTTCTCGATCGGAAAACTTTGTTTCTCTTATGGAGATTTGAATAATATTACCCAATTGTTTATTTAACCTTTTTCTATTATTAACTATTTCTTATAGGACCCCTAAAACCCTCAAAAAATTCAATGGGGGCCCATAAAAAATCGCTTGTATTAAAAAATGGTGAAATAAACAATTGGGTATTATTATTGGCCGTCACCTAAAGAGAAGCAATGTTTTCCGATTGAAAAAATATTGATTTTAGAGAATTCTATACCATTTCTACGAAAACTTGCTTTTCTTCATATAAAACTAGCAGACCCGGCGAACTTCGTCCCGCCCAAAATTTTTATATATTTTATTGAAACTTTTTGGTCCAACATTTTCACCAACAATTCACGTTTACGATTTTCATTGGCACATTTGTCTGCTAAGATTAAGGTTTGGTGGTCATTTGCCGCTTTAAATAACCTAAGGAAAGTGTTATATCCGTTCTTGAAATTCTCCAGTTGTGCGGCATTTCATAGCACGGTTATTCGCAAAGCGAAATACATTTTTTCCTCTTCACTCCCTGGCGGCAACAATGACCCGGTTCTATAGTGAATGTCCTAGAAGCTTTACAGTATAGTAGGTGGCAATTTCAAAATGGGTGCGAATCATTGTTCTACAGAAATGCAATATACATATACTTAATTCAGACGAAATACCTTAAAAGTTTGAACGCATAATAATATTGGTAAATCACATCCATTGGGCCAATTGCAACGCAGGAGCGTTCGATATACTCAATGGTGCAACAGGTCGATTTAATCTGACCTTCACGGCCCCTTTTCTCACTTGGCTATTTTTAGTAATAGCTCGACTTCAGCACCACTTGGAAGCACGTTTTTGCAATAGTATTGCATACATATTTAAAACATTAGCCAAATCGGATCATAAATAAGATTTTTAGTAATAACTCAACTACAGCGCCAACTGTCGGATTAAATTGTGAAACTAAACCATCCAGAGACCCACTCAAATACACAAAAAGTTTCGTTAAAATCCGTACAACCATTTAGGAGGATTTCACTCACAAACACACCTACAGAAGAATAAAAAAATTCATTCAAAGATAGCTAAAGGTCGGTACGTTTGTAGGCCTCACACCCCTTTTCAAATAACCTAAATTTTCTCCATGAGTATGGGCTTGATTTCAACTATATACATATCTCCATACGAAGTTCCAGTACTGTACCATGAATACTTTCAGAGATATGCAGTATAAAAATTCGATTTATATGGGAGGTGTCACGCCCCCCTTTCCAACAGCTGCCCTCTTTCTTCATGAGTATGCGATTGATTTCGTATATCTCCATACCAAGTTCCGGAACTCTACCATGAACACTTCCAAAGATAGGCAGTATGAAAAATTCGGTTTGTATGGAAGATGCCACGCCCCCTTTTCCAATAGTTCCAATTTTTCTCCAAGAGTATGCGATTTATTTCGTACATCTCCATACAAAACTCTAGAACTCTACCAAACAATTTCCAGAGATAAGCAGTATGAAAATTCGGTTTGTATGGGAGATGTCACACCCCTTTTTACAATAGCTTAAATCTTTCTCCAAGGGTATGCGATTGATTTCGTATATCTCCATACCAATTTCCAAAACTCTACCATGCACACTTTCAGAGATATGTAGCATGAGAAATTCGGTTTGTATGGGAAGTGCCACACCCCCTTTACATATAGATTTTTTTCAGCCTAAAACCATCCTTGGGACACGTGCGGCAGGTGGCAGTTTCAAAAAAATCGGTTTAGCCGCTCTCGAGCCTTGCGAAAACTAACAAACGGCTTTCTAAATATATATTAGTTGAGATATATTATATATTATAATTATATTTTGACAGTATCCGTTGTTTCTGATTGGCGCAAAAAAATCTT